CGTAAGTGTGGGTTGCCTGCAACTCAGGCAGAAGATCACTTACCTCCCGTGCAACAGCTTGAGTATGACGGGTGCAGCAATCAAAGAGTAGCCGGATCGGCCGGAAGACCCAAGTCAACGCATAGATTACCCCAATGGTCAAAACTGTAATCAGCGCTAGTAGGGTTCCCCAGGCAATCCATGGCCAAAATTCTCCGCAGGTAGCGAGTCCAAATCGATCAAGAAAGTAAAGCCCCCAGCCCCCGGAGGAGCTAAGACTTCCCTTCTGTTGTGGGGTGCTAAACCATGCTGGTCCCATCCAGGACCTGATGTCAAAATGGAAAACTGAGTGACCCCACACATGAGCGAAAGTGCTCGCATCTCCTGCGTGAGGAGCGGAACGCTCACCTTCCTCAGGGGCCATCCTGGGAGGGGCGGTCTCGCCCACGGTTGCGTCTGGGAAAATCTCCTCCACCTCATCCGAGGAGTTGGAAGAAAACCACCAGACCCAATCAGCCGGGGGGCCTTGAACAAGCTCCAGGGTCAACGCGAGGCCCAGCACCGATAGCCATGGCCCACCTAACATTGTGACACCTGTCCTATTCAAAGCAGTCCCTAGGCTGCAATCACTTGAGCCAGTGAAAGCAGCAACCCAAGCTAACCCTACGTTCTGGCGAACACACGATGACTGTTGTCAAATCACACTACCAATCTGAATTCGGACGACTTCTAATATTAGAAGCTTTCCAGCGCCCCAACAATCGCTCCGTTCATCGCCGGAACGGAACGGACGGTCCGTAAGCGGTATATGCGGAACGCTTACTGCAGCTCTCTCTTTGGCCGTTTGGCTCCAATTCCGGCGAAACCGCCAGCTTTAATTCTTAGAAGGTTTTGGGGATTTTTGGGAGTCCAAGCACGGCAGCCGGGGCACTCAGGATTGCGAGGTGGCCGGAGAATGATGAGAATGGAGAAATATGGAGAAGATGCAGAGAAGTCATGAGACATCGAACAAAGGAAAGTCCAGAAACTGGAGGGTTCAGAAACTAGGGTTCAAAAAGTATAGGGTTCAGAAAAAATCAGAAACTGGATGAAACTGGGTTTGTCGGGTTCAGCAACTGGTTTGGCTCGGCCGGGTTCAGAAACTATTTTGTCGGGTTCAACATCTATGTTTGCTTGGTTTCCGAACGCAATTTGTCAAATTCTGAACCCCACATTTTCAGTTTCCAAACCCAACATTTTAGGTTCCGAACTTGACGCTGACCACCCAACTTTTGTCCCAGCCCTTTTCAGACCCCCTCTGACCAGAAGCAGCTGAAGAAGAGCTGGCTCCCGCAGTCTCCGCCCTCTTTGCCCGCAGCGGCAGGGCGCATGGACCACCATGGGTGCACGTGAAGCGGCACGCGTGGCCACTGGCCTTAGAGCGAGTGGGTGGGTGGTGTCGAGCTGGGCGGGGTCGGGAGAGGCAGCGGGACGAGGCCCACCTGCACTGGCTCCAGCTTCAAGACAGCATTGTGGGTGAAAGATAAGGAATGCATCGAGATGCGGTGATGCTGTCGCTCGAGATGTTTCAGCGCTTCCGCACCACAAGTACATCAAGTAGATCCTCCGTTGATGTTCCGTGCATTCGCCACGATCCTCACAGTCCATCAGTTGAGTTGGTAAGGGGTTATTTAAAGCATTTTAGAGCTGACCTGCGTGTGAAAGATTGCAGAAACTATATATATATAACTATATATATATATATCGATATGGAACCGATAAGGGAACACTCACCAAAGCACTCATCTTCCATTAGAGATCATTTTTGACAAGTCCTCCTGTGAAACTGGTGGGGAGCAGTCTTTGAATGCAAGCTGAGCCTCCTTTGCTCAATTAAAAAGTCTCCAGTCCTGTTTGGAGACAGGTTTCTTTCATCCAGCCAATGGCTGGTTAAGAGAACAGAAGTTCGTGCACCCATACTACCCCCGGAAACTCCTCCCCTGAACATTGCCTTCATTTGGTTTTGGAGGGAAACAGGGCTACACACGTCCTGTGGCAGTGTTGAAACTTCTCACTTCCTCGTGCTGCCTTCGCCCAGGCCGTCCTTCTAACATTGCTAACGTTTGTGTTGGCCGGGAAGAAAGGCCGATCTGACATGTATCCGATCTGCAAATGGCAAACACAGGGTCAAGCAGGGAGTGCGGTGCGGGTTTTGATCTGATTTCATCTGATTTCATCAAAGACTTTGACGAGATCTTTCCAAAGCTATTAGGAACAAGTGCATCGCTTCTAGTAACAAGTGCCTTACTAGTAGTAACAAGAAGCTATTAGAAACCAAAAAGCTACTAGGAACAAGTGAAGAACGATGATCAAACAGAGTGCTTAGCACTCCAAAAAGAGGTCTCGCTTCTCCACCGGTGCCGCAAGCGCCGCAAGCACCGCTGCCGAACGCGCCGCTGCCGCGCCAGTCTCCGTCAAGGAGGTGGTCTTTGATAGTGCCGTGTCCGACATCCAGGCAGATCAAATCTGTGTGGGTCAAGGGGACTGTTCTGTGTAGTGCAGAAAAGGAAAGCCAAGAAAAAAGCGACCGCACCAGAATCCACATGTCCTTGGGCAGTTTTTTAGGGCCCCTCAAGGTCTTTCGCAAGGGAAAGCATGGGTCGATGGTGAAATCTCACCTAGTGATTAGCTTAGAACCTGGGATGTACGGTTGCCTCGAACCTCAAAAGCAGACCAAGGGTTGTGGCATGGTTGACCTATGTACCGCAGACCTTATCTTTGCACAAGATGTGTCCCCAAGTTGGGGCAACTACATGAAACATTGAAATGCTGATGTGAATTCTGATCCCCCGCGACCGCTGTTGGAGCACTGCTTTGGACTCGAGTCCGGTCACCCCACGTGCCGTGGCACAGTGGTTGGGTGAAGACCAGCGGACCGTCATCACGCAGACCACCAAAGGGTGCGGCGGCCCATGCGGCCATGGGCCTGGGATCTGCAGGGCTAAGTGGGCCGTGTGGTTCGGTGTGCTTGGGATCCTGTTTTGGCCTGGTGGGACCAGGGGGGAACTGAGCGTTTTGGGGATGAGCTGTGAAGGGCTCAAATGGCTGGTGACCAAAGTGGGGGCGGGTCTGCGAACAGACGAAACCATCCTGTTTCTTTTTCAAGAAGAAGCTACCTGGACCGGTTTGGGATGAATCGAAGCCTGCTGGGCAATCCTTTAATAGGAGCCGAAGAGCAATTTAGAAGGCTTTGGCATTCAGCCGATTTTCAGGATTTTGATCCGCTTCTCGTCCAACGGATGGGCGGGTGATGCATCATCATACAATTGATGCTTCGAGTGCTTCAGGTAGTGCTCACAACAGGTTGTTGATAAGCCTTTGGCCAGCACACCTAAGAGTATCCATTCCGGAGCCTACGGTATGGACAGACATGCACCAGTTTTCAACATGTTTTTGGCTGGCTGTTGGGGAAAAAACTTCAGGCGCCTCTATCGAAGCACCAATGGTGGAGAGACCTGGAATGACATCACCGACTTCTTCAAAGGCAGGGAGACTTCCAGAATTTGACCATCACCTGACTGGTGCGGTGCTTCGAAGGGAATGAGCTCCAGATTGAAAGCAACCAATTCTCTGACATGTTCACACTACCACCTTCTGTCACTTCTACAGACAGTACACACCGTACTACAGTACTACAACATGTCTTCAGGAGACACTTCGTCAAAATTCTCTTCAATCAGATAGTAGTAAGTAGTGATGCCTTTTGTTCCTAGTAGCGTCCTCTTGCTCCTAGTAGTAAGGCCAGGAGCCCCTAGTAGCGTCCTTGCTCCTAGTAGCGATGCCCTTTGCTCCTAGTAGTAAACCAAGCTCCTTTGTGCTGACTGGTGCCACTCAGTCCCGCCCGGTCCCGTGCGCACACGGCAGTCGATGTGCCTGGCTCTTCGCCGTCGGGAGCTCTCAGCTGGGCTGGTCACATTCAAGAACAACTGAGGTGTATGGCACTTTGAGAATCGCAGGGGTTCCATGGGGTTCTCACGGATTCCCCCACTTTTCTTCAAACACCAATCTCTGTCTTGGCGAAAACTAGGTTCAGGTCCTCCAAGAGGTGATGTTGATGGAAGATTGAACCACAACATGTGTGCGGAGTGTCGGATTAAAAGTCCCAATTCTTTGCTAGACCCCGTCACAGTGGAACACCACAACCCATTTCACGAATATCTGGAGGAAGGCCAATATCAAACGAGGCATGGCTGCCAATGCAGTGACCACTCCATAATCAATGCTCCACCCTCCCATAAGTTTGGGGCGCCTATCGTTGGAAGATTCGATGTTGAAAACCTGCCCCACCCCGAAGCGGCCGCCTGGCCCAGCCGAGATGCCAGGCAACCCTTCATTGCGGAGTCCATCACCAAGAGCCCAGCCGATCCCAACACAATCCTGGCGCCTGGCCGACCACTTCGTGTTCGTTTTTTGGCAGGTCGATACTGGTCGATACGTGGTCAGAATCGCAAACACACTGCTGGACACTGGCCAGGAAAAGGTCGTTGGGTGCTGAGTGACGGGAGTTTTGGAGAAAAGCCCCCAACGCTTGGTCTGTGTGTCTGTGGATCCGTGTGGTTGGAACGGTACACCGCGTTTCGTCCGTGCATGCTCGCATGCGCTCGCTTGCTTGTCTTCCAGCGCGGCACCAGGTATCTGGAAATAAGAAGACCAACTTCATCTCCAGCACCAGGTGGGCGATCGGGAAGGAACAGTGAGACATGCAATGAAACTCGCATAGACTCGGGACACTTCAGTGTCCTCAATTCCCCAGGGAATGGACATAGGGAATGAACGGCATGATCGCATACATGCTGTGACATGGCCATCAACAAATATGGATCAGTCATTGATATATAAAGATCGCCGTCAAGACCAACGCTTCTATACGTTAAGAGGAGATCTCTTGGTGTATAGGAAGACTTGACATATCAAAGGCAAGGTTGAACCTTTTGGAGAGGGAAAAAGATTGGCAAACGGCACGAGAGAAACAAATACGACCACCGAGACAGCCATTCGTTACGGGCCATTCTCTTGGCTCCAACGCTTTGAGCTCTCCCTCCAAGCGCATGAGGCGAGGGAGGGAGGGGAGACCCGGTGTGAGGTTGCACATGAGCCATGCTGTGCTTGAGGCCTAAGAGGTCCAAACACCCCGCAGTGGCCAGAAGCAACTCTTCCTTGTCCTCACTCAGCACTCAGAGCAGTGAGGATGATGAGTGTCGCTTGGGTTTGCGAAGTATGAGTACCGTTCGCAGTCGTGGCATGAGCCCAAAAGTTGAGCCGCATGAGGATTTGACAGCGGAAGAGAAGAAGCATCATCGCTTAGAGCAATTTCTGGAGAGGCATGGCTTTGCTGATGCTCATCAACTCCGTAATCTGGACAACATCTATAGTAGGATCCGTTTCGAGGCGCTTTACCCCATGGATGTGGCGCAAATGCTCGGCGACCCGGAGCTGATTCAGATGCTCAGAGACCTTGATGCGGAGACCTCGATGAGCTTGCGTGGAGCTTTGTGCGAAGCCTTGCAGAGTGTTGACATGTAGTGGACCCCAAATAGATTGGAGAGATCACCGGAAAATGTTGAACATGCCCAATGAATGCTAATGATATGATTCAGTGTCAATTTATGTAGTAGCCTCCAACATGTCAAGATCATGATTGTGTGTTTTTTTGGTGCCTCTCCATGTTTGCCTGTGGGTTTTCCCACTTCCTCCTGACTTCGACATCAGGAGAGTTGTCGGGTGTGGAAGGTGGGCCGCATCCGCAGGACCCACCCGTCAACCGTCCGTTTTTGATCGAGCAGTGTTGGCCAAGCCAGACCGCTCGCCACGGATCCCTCACCACGATCCAGACTCGGAGTTGGTGTCAAAACAGGGCTGGTGCCAAGGCAGGGAAAGAGGAAGCGAAGTTCGGTTGATACACAACACTCGTGGGCCCTTGTGTTGAAGGGTGACATGGGTGCCTCAGACATTGAGGAGCTTCCAAACAGTTCCTCATGCAGTGTTTTCCTGCATGACCGCTTTGGAATGACCCAAGGGCTTTGGATCTGGACACTCCCTGCTGCAAAGTCCGATCCGATTCCGCCCTCCGGACCGCACACAGGGGGTCCTCATGGAAGAAGCTCCGGCAACGATCACAGATCCATACGGTGATCTTCCACAAGACGCCGCCTGTTCCGAAAGACACGGGAGACGAGACCAACATGGGGTGCCGTTTCATGCGGGCGGAGGAGACGCGCCTCTGACGTTCGGCCCCATGAAAGACGGCTGCGTTCCTTCGAAGAAATATCCGGTTCAATAGCCATTGTAACTCTTGACCTCAGAAAGCTGGATCTTTTTGGGACACCACCTGGGACACCCGGTATCTAAACTCTCGTGCCTTTGCAGGCACTTGCTTTAACGTCCCTCACCAGAAGCCTTTCCTCCAACAGGTGAGTCACCCTGAGGTTTTGTTGGTTTGGAAAATGTACCTCTCGCCCTTGCAGCTATCAGGTATGAACCAATGCAGTGAATCAGACCGTCTCCGTGTCCCCAAAGTCAGACGGCAGTCATTCATCCAATGAAGTTAATTCCCAAACACTCCATTGTATAGAGTGTATATTATGTGCAATTACTATATATACGGCACTATATTCTACCATATATATATACACATATACCGGGCTTCAATAACCACAGCAATGATCCCCAATGTAACAATGTAGGTAAATATGCCATGCATTGAATGTCTGAGATTGAACACATCTTGCCCTCACACATCGTCCTCCATCATCCTCACTCAGCCTCACAGCTGGATCGGAGCTTGCCAAGGCGGCCCACGTGGCTTTTGCTCTCCACCTGGACGAGCACTTGCAGAGACCCCCAGAGCGGTCTGGGAACAAAAAGACGGGGGGCGGCAGTCTGATTGGTGAGGTGGGTCACGCTTGCAGTGAATTGCGTGGTGCACTCCTCATTCCTTCCCTGAACTCCACGATGCCTGGCGGGTACTGTGGTCGGAACAAGGGACATAGACATAGATGGGACATAGCATTAGCGGAAAGACGAGGATATATAGGGGTATACGGTATACGGTTATACCATCATCAACCATCACCATACCACCAGGACATGTCAATCGGAGGTCCAGGATGAACTTGTTTTGCACTTCGTTTCGTCACCGGGTCTCCGGTTTACATCGCTTCACTGGCGGAAGAGACTGGCGGCTGCGGCTCTCGCCGAGGCAACAAGAAGAAGGAGACCAACGCAGCGCCTGAACCGGCCGAAGATGGGGGTGGCTGGGAGCCTGAGGAACGCGGAGTCTCGCGCATTTGGGATCTTAGGATCACTTGTTGCGAGGACTGCAGGGAAGGGAAGGGCTGGTCAGCCACATTTGGTGATGACATCATATTTCAACTCCCCATATGAAGATTGCAATCCTACAGTGGCGTTCGTGGTGTCACGCCTCAACACAGGGCTTCGTTCAGGCGGACATCCGAGGAAGTGGTGTAGAAGAGGCTTTACAATCCAATGGAATACTGTGAAAACCCAGCCTATTTCTTTGAGAAATGGTCAACCATGTCCACACTCTGTTCTCGCTGGGGCATCTCTCGTGAGAAAAAAGGTCCAGGAGTCCAAGATGTCCAACATATTGGGACACCCTTAGACAATGGGTTTGCAGTTACATCAATTCCCCGAGGAAAGGAATGGCTCAACGGCAAGGTGAATCGTCCAAGCACTTGAAGGTGTTTGAACAAAGGTTGACGCGTGACTGCAGAAAACTAGTTACTGATTACTTAGCAGACTGAATTAACGCCGTGCAAGGAAACCTGTTTTGGGGGATATCATGCGAAGAACCACCATGGAAACAAACCAACAGCGGCAAGGGAAACCAGTGGAGTCATTGCGTTGGATGCAGGTACACAGTAGAGCGTCCTCCACTGCTTCAGCACCAACCGATACCCTCTTCGTTGGACGGGCAGTATCGGTGGTGACCCGTCCCCCTGCTTGCAGAAAACTCTTAGAAACAGAGGGTGACACACACACACACACACCGAAGCTACAGACTTACTCACCAACATGGTCCGCCTGACCATTTGGACGATCCCTTCATTCTATACCAAGCTTACAAGTATACCAAGCCCCTCAAACTACCATCTCTCTCCGCTATGTTTGTTTCAAATTCAACCCAAGGTCGGGCTTGTCGAGACAAGTTAATCATATACACGCCTCACGACTATAAACTTCATCTTACGGCTTGAATGTCTCTTAGGTTTTAAGCTCACCACCATGAATGTGAAGTTTTCTGAAATCCAACCAATCAAATAACGAATCAAATCACATCTCATGTCACCCAGAGGGAAACAACATGAAACAACACGTTGACATGTGTGTGTGTGTGTGTGGACGATCACTCGCCATTGATGTAGGCGACATCAATGCTAGGTGAATTGATGGTTTACATTTCGGTGCAGTTTCAGGGGAAATCAGGTTCCTTTCCTCAGACGTTGGTGATGATGATTTTGACAAGCATTCTGGCTCCAGGCGCCTGAGCCCATGGGCAGGTTGTGACTGCCAAATGCTAGTTTGTAGACAGAATGGACACACACACAGATGCCAGGCTGGTTGAACTCATTGCCCCAGAATGAAAAAGAAGACAGCGCATCCCTACTGGTAGTAGTTCAAAGCACTGTTTTTTTTCAATTTAAAGCAGCCAGCATATGGGCAGAATGCCCCAAACGTCCGCAAAAAGCCGCTGGTCCGGGTTTCTCCTTGCGTCCCTGGGATCTGTCCTTTGATAGTGATGGCCTCCAACGTAATAGCGTGCCCGGTGGATGCTCAGGTCCATGCAACCACATGCTTTACTTGTCCAAAGATTTGGGCAAGACATTTTCCTTAGTGCCAGCCCGACCTGATTGCCGACCTGATGAGGACGGAGTCGGACGGAGACAAATGTCCCTCCATGGAGCTCTTGGGCTGGTAGAGATTCCAGGGAATTCAGAGCGTTTTAAGATTTCGCTTGTTGGGCAATGCAAGTGATTCGCTTTTAGTTTGTTTTTCTTCGTGTCTTCAGTGGCCTTTTGGAACGTTGAAGCTTCTGGTGCCAGGCAGAACTATGTGGTGCAGTTTAGCTGGGGCGACCCTGCGATGAATCAGCAGGCCTGTGGAAGACTGTGGGGAGCGCAGCAGCACGAGGTTGGCTTAGGCACCCTTAGTTTGCCCACAAAAACCTATACAATGATTGGGTCAACACTTCTCCAGAATGAACTATAACTCTGCAAGGGGTTGATGATTGCATACAGACTATTCAGGTCGCTTCGCGAGGACAACTGCCCGCACCAGTGGCTTAGAATTGTTTATTTATGTTTTACTGTGCAACTTGCTGAAACATCATTGGATATATTTGTTTACCCCCTTGAAATTGTACATTCTTACATTCTTCAGGGATCCAAATTATAGCCAACAACGCTTGCAAATGACTATATTTTGGACAGCCTGAAACGTGCACAATTTTAAGGTTGCCGAAAAATAGAGTGAACAATAGTGAATATATATACAATGTGCATGATCCACACAAAACTTAGAGATGAACGCAGCATGAAGTGGGTGAATAATATATGAGCCACGGTCAAAACATGCGAAGACCACTTTAGTAAAGAGGGGTAGGTTTGTGCACAAAACCCTGCAAAACGATAAGGTCCACCTCAAAACCGATAACCCCAGCGTTGTATATGGTCATAAGTATGCGACGAACTCAAAACGCTGTAAAACGATAAGGTCCACCTCAAAACCGATGACGTCCATTTTTTAGCTGAAGAAGAATAAGGAGTTTTGACCGTCCCTCATATATATATATAGAGAGAGAAGCGTCTATAACCACACTGTTTTTGGACCCTCTTACACTTTCTTTAGCTATGTCTCTCCACAAGCACTCTATGTTTAAACCCTCTTTCAACATGTTAGCACTGTCAGATATATTTTTGGACTCCCTTGAAATTGTACATTTTTCAGGGTGTCAAAATATTATATTAAGACAAAAACTGTTGAGAGGAGTCGTTTGTTTTGCCTTTCATGACCTAGTGATGCAAATGATATGGCATTGCACGGGCGTTCGGGTAAAAGCGCACGCGCATCGAAGCGTCGAAGCCGCGAAGCG